CTTATATTTTTTCTTCTACCCTGAAGATGGAGGCAATACGTTCCTCCGAAACGTCGGTTAACACCACATATACACGGTGCCAAATCCCAGAAGACTACTTTCTTCATAGTCACCGCCGTGAAAGCCTCAAATCTTACATGCCAGGATATATTAGAATCTTGCCCTTATTTATCCAACAGTTCCATGTATCTTTAGGTTATTGAAGGTGTTCATAAAATCTTTCAGTTCGTACGAAAGCTTTCAGCGAAACACATCCCCACCTGACAAAGTTTCCTTGCCGGAAATTATTCTGACACTCACCAGGTATTTGAGAATAACCTGCGCCACAGTCTTGTTGTACTTGTCCGCCAGTTCCTTAATTTTGGGGTCCTTGAGTGGTTCGGGAGATTCTCCTTTGTGAAGGGGCGCGATACTTGTTGGGCCCGCGAAAGGGCTGTATGCCGTAATCTGGATTCCTTTCTCTCTACAGAATTCAATCAACTTTGTCTGGTTCAGATAAGGATGACATTCAACCTGGAAAGATGATATAGCATATAGAAGCTTAAGTGCAGTTTATCATTAAAATTATCTCTCTACATAAAACAATACGCGATAGATGCGTCCTTGAAAATTTGCTGATAAATCGAAACAAATCTTCCGATAGAAGTTATAATACAAGGGCATGGAATATCCTGATCTCAATAGAAACATGTGTCGGTCACGGTAGTCGAGCGGTCTAAGGCACACACTGTCTTCGCTCTCTCGGAAGCCGGGATCGTGGGTTCGGATCCCACTCAGGGCATGGATGTTTGTGTGCATTTTTCTGTGTTTGTGTACAGGTAGAGGCCTTGCGATGAGCTGATCACCCGCCCAAGGAGTCATACCGTATGTCTAAGATCTAGTAAACCCGAAGTGAAACGGAGAGTTTCATGGAAGTAGGGCTAGGCCCAAATGAGGGCTGTAGCGCCAATGAAAAAAAAAAAAAAATAGAAAAATGTATTCTTTTATTTTATTAATTATCGTCTATATGACGGGTCTTAACCATCACCAGTAAGCAGTTTCTCATACATTTCGAAGAATTTATCTAAAAACACGTGTGTTATCATGTTCCATCTTCTGTGAAGTTCTGCACAGAATTCCGACAAAAATCGGACGATGAAGTCTGCATAACATTCTACCAAGAAGGAAAGCAATGATATTTATAAGCTATGTTATAATTTGGAAACTGTTTACATTTTTGGCACATTTACACACATATGTGCTCTTTTAATTCTGTTTTTTCCTTAAAAAGTCTATTATTTATTTAGAATTTTGTTTCATTTTGGTTATATTTATTTTCTCTTTGACATCTGCGTTCAGCGCTACGCTTCCGAAAATTTCCTTACATTAATAACACTTCATCTGTTCTGATACAATTGTGATGACCACAATTCAGAACCAGTACCTGGTTGACGACGGGTTTGATTGTAGCAATATCCAGTACCCGCTGTATCTGTTGACTATTGAAGTTAAAGAAGCCAATACTCTTCGTGAGGCCCTGTTTAACACACTCCTCCATCGCCTTCCATGTGTCCACGTAGTCTACATCGCTGAAAATTAATTTATTATTCTCGTCCTTTGGACGACCATCTTCACCTTCCTGAAAATAATCCACGTACTTAAAATTTATATGTTTTCGTTCAGTAACATGAATATTAAAAGATACTGTACATCATAAAGGTAATGAAATGCGTGGAACGTGTCCACACAAGGGAAGATTAGAGACTTGCACAAATTTAAGTCTGAGAACTTGTAGATAAGAGACTATATTTAAAAAAAAATGAGTACTACGGCGTGGACTTAATTCAACTGATTCTGAAACTCTTTGAGAAGATTCCTGCTCTAAGCTAATCATTTACACCTATCGTTTAAGGTCATCTGCTTAACATTAGATCTACAAGTATCTGTCATAATGTTATCAGCTCCTAAGAAAAATAAAAGTTAACTGTAAATTGAAAGTGACATAGACACCTAGTCATCTAGCACTGTGCAATAAATAAGTGCAATCATATATCAGTTTATATTAATTAATCTTATTATGAGTGTTTTAAGAGTACACGCAGAGACGATTGTGAATCTTGATGAAGTCAGCTGACATAAAAAACGAAATTTCCGGCATCAATTTCTTATCGTTTGCATCATCGTTGTGGTGGCCAGAGTTACCATCGTCGATGTCATCATCATTATCGTCATCATCGCCATAGATATGATCATAATCATCATCATCATCATCATCATCATCATGATTGAGTCTTCTAGGAGGTGGGGCCCTTCATTGACCCGTTACGACCTAATTGTATCAATAGAATCAATAGAACTCAGTTCTATAGACCTATAGGTCTTGTGCGAAGATGCATTACTCATCGGAGTCGTAAGTTGAATTTAATGTGTTTCTGTTTATTTCCTAGTGGGTTCTAATTTCGAGGTGACTAATGGCATTAGGCATACATATACACCACTAACGATAATTTTAGTTTGTTGCCGAACATGTTTGAAATTAATAGGAGTCATATCCTATGGACCTTTTTCTTCTATTCATATGGCATGCCATTCATGGCGATGTAAATTCGATCAGTGGTACAGGTAAATTGCCGTTGTATTACCTACATGTACGTGTGTCAAGTGTCCATGACAAGATTTTACTGAATTAGGCTATAGCAACATCTGCTACGTGAAAGGGATAAATCTTCCAGATCTTCATAAATACAGCCAAATTCCATAATAAATGCTAACTACGCTTCACATACTGAAAAATATTATCAATACTCACACAATAGTCACGATAGATTGAAACAAAATTTCCTGAACATGACGCCAGAGATAGAAGGCCACGCAGGTCGATGCAAGCTCGGCAGCTTGGTCCCGAGGCTACTGAGTTGCTCGGTAACCCTGGCTCCCCCCCCCCCCCCCCCACCCTCCGCTCC